GAGGTTCAACAATTTAAGACAGAAGTCGATGACGGATTTTTTTCCCGTATGATGTGTATTGTACAGTATTGTACTGAAGATGGTGCAAAAAAAAAAAAAGAAACACCACCCCCCCCCACCCCCCCCCCCCCATAAAAAAAGAAAAAAAAATTAAGAAGGGATACTTTCAATTAGTATCCCTCATTTATGAATAAAGACAAGCGATATATCATCACAACTTGCACATTTTACATGCGTACCGGTACACGTTCATTTGTAAAACCGTCCATTGGTTTTATATTTGTTTGTTTTTGTTCATAAATATTTTGTTCATTACAAAATTATTCATTCGTCTACACAGTATCATTTTGTCTATATCCGTCCGATACGTTTGTTATTTGTTTGAGAAATGTCATTCTTATGTTGCCTTTGTTTTATTGTTTGAATCATGTCCTTCTTATACGTTCGTTCCTTATATGAATTTTTTCATGTCCGACTTATGTTTTCGTTATTTAATTTTTTTTAAAATCTTGTCCGTCATATCGTTCATAAATTCGTTCATGTCCGTCTAATATGAAGAGATCATGTGAGAAACAACAGAAGTTTCAAGTTATATAAATTTTGCAAACCCCCTTCAGGAAATATTTTTCTAGATGCCTAAAATTCCCTAAAATCTTTTCCATTTTAGGGTACTAATAGTATGATACAACTTTTACAAAAAAAAAAGGTAGATATGAAATCATCAACATTAACCATCGGGATTTTGTAACACGCTCAGATAATGGATTGACGCCAGTGACTTTATAGAGATCGTGGTTCCGGATGACGTTAGGCAATTTGATATTTAAAATGTGGCGAAGGTGTCGTCTATGGGTTATATCAAGATCATCTAATACACTGTTAGGGACAGACCAGCTGTTGCAGTTGTATAGCATGACAGAAACTACCTGGGCTTCATAGACTATAAGACGTCTCTGGAGTGAAATACATCTTCGACGGTTCCAAATTTTATTGAATCGCGAAAAAGCGACGTTTCCGAGAATGATGCGTTGTTTAACATCGACGATGGAATCTAAAAAAGATCCAAGCAGCTTACTTGAGCGCCACGCTTCATTGTCTTTATTTTATGGTGTTTCCACTACTATCTAGGTCTTGTTTATTAGCCATATATATCTGTGTAAATTCAGTTTTGTCTTCATTTACTGAGAGGTTCCATTCTTGTAATATTGTTTTAATGGTGGGCAATATATGCTTAGGAATCTGAGGATCTTCATCTAAAAAATCGACGTCATCAGCATATTCTGACTCAAGTGGCATCCCCATAAATGATATAGGTGGATTTGGTCTTGGAATGACTGTTTTAACATGCCTAAGTGCTCCAGCAAGTGTAAGTGTGAACAATGCGCCAGATAGACTATCGCCTTGAAACGACCCTATAGTAGACTGAAAGTTTTCTGAGAGCACATTCTTGATTTTAACTCTGAGGCGAGTGTTTGCAAGAAGAAAATGAACGAGTCTGACTTCGTCATTGCAACACCCTGCATCATTAAGCAGATTCAGTATAGTCGACCTTCGAATGGAGTCGAATGCAGCACTCATATCTATTCCCATTTTGTTGAACGTCCAGTGCTTTTCCATTACAACTGCCACAAGCATTCGCTGACACCACACCAAATCAGAACAACTTCTGCTATGCTTGTAGCCAGCTTGCCATGGTTCAGTATAAGCGACATCATCACTGACAAAATTAAGGCATTTTACATAAGACAACAATCTCTTGTTAACCAAAAATCCAATTCCCCGATAAATAGACTTAACTTGTGGGCATATATATAACTTGTTTTTTGACGGAATTGTGACTTCTTCTGTTTTTGTACACTTTGTCTCTTGAATTGCTATTATATCAAGGTTATATCGAGTTGAATCATTATCAAGATAAACACGTTTAAGCACTTTATATTAGAAATAAAAAATCTGGAATTGAGCAAAATACAGTATTAAAAGATGTTCTGTGTTGCTTGAATATGCTGATGTTAGTTGCTTGTCATTCCAAAGGGGAACAGAGGCACAGGCAAATGACTGACATCTATTAAACTCTGTTGAATTAAGTGACGTTAAAACAGAAACTGAGGATGATCTCAAGGTCCTTTTGCTGCCACATATATAGTATATTGATCAACACATAGG